ATATACCTTCTTGTCAGGTACTAACTCGCACTCTGAATTACTTGATTCATTTACAAAAGACAAATGACTCAGATTTACCAATTCATTTTTCTCGGGGGCCCATGAACTGCCATTATAGCCAAGTGATTGATTTTTAGTGACAGAAGTATTAGTTGAAATGTTTGTTTCCTTTAGCTTTGAAGTTTCATGACTTGCAAATGTACTTCCAAGTGCAGTGGATGCTGGACATGGAAACTTAAAAGCTGACGTCAATCCATCTCCAGATCCATCAATGACATCTGATGATGAAAGCCAACCTAGGTCATCTTCACTACCAGGTCCAAATCCAAATGTTGAATCACAACTCCTGAAATAAATTAGCATTGTTAGTATTTTTAAACAGACTATTCATTTTTTCTACATTCACATCAAAAGCTGACATAGATGTCATAGGTAGAAATGGTTTTTTTTTTAATTTTGTTCACATCTAACCCCCTAAAAAGGATAAAAGGATGAATAAAGTCCATTTGACTGAAATGAAGAAAGCAATTACCTGAACATCCTGTCAACATCATCAAAATTCTCTATCTCAGGCCAGCTATAGTATAAGAGATCATTAGAGTCTTTACCCTCGCAACTATTGTCCAAAAAGCTGAGATCATCATCAGCCTGAGGAATGGGACCAACTGGATAGCTATATGTGTTTCCCCCCACAGCAGCATTCTTGTTATCCAGAGGGCGACCATTAGGACAGGACTTGCTCTCAATTGAGTTTACATTATTACTCTCGATGCAACGACTGGATGTCCTGGTATTTTCAGCTGGTGAAACATCTTCGACTTTGGCACCATCAGGTGCATCGGCCCAGAGGTCCTTTTCCAGCATTTTGGTGTTTTTATTACTCAATAGAGGAAGTATTTGCTCGTTTTGCTGATTAGCATATTTACCAGTAGATTGATCGCCTATGTTACTTGTTAAACTAATTACTTCATGGCGAGGTTTCTTACGGCTATCATTCTGGGAGAGTGGTTCATCGGTGTGTGCACTACTTGGATGTGGCACTATATGATCATCGCTGTGGCAGAACTCATCCCAAGATATATCTT